GATAGGATGTGATCACATCAACAAAAACAAACTTGCCTTCTAACAGGGGGAGCTGGAGAAAGACTTTGCTATCATTCCACTGGCAGCAAAGTCATCTCAGTAAATCGAGGACTTTGTTGTGGTCTGCGGTGCAGATGCTGCTTTCGGATGTGTATCAAGAATATTGGTGCTTATTTATATCTTCTAAATTTCCTTCATCTTTATCACAGTGTTCTGGCATGACGAAACTTTAGATCGGTTGATGGAAAAAGTGAGAGTGAGCGCAAAGTGAGGTGTCCAAGGATGTGGATGGTGATTACTCACAAAGCCGCTCCGAACGTTGCCAAACTCTTCGGGTTGTTTTTTTTCTTCCCTGTGAGTCATTTGGTAACAGAGCTTCCTCCTTCCCAGCGGTGGTCATGGGGAGAGGCTCCAAGCAGGCGGTTAGTCAGCAGAAAGGCATTGAGCTCTGGGCAACAATCGACACCTTGTAACATACACCACAAAAAATTCCAGCTAAAACTCAACACATACACACCAGTACAGGTTTCCAAGGGTCTAGATTTGTGTTTTTAAACAATTTGGATCTCTGGTTTTATTTTTTAATTAAAAAAAAGAAGCTATTTTCTTTCAGGAACATTTTTACATCAGTATAATTGTGTTGGCTTGCGGTGTCTTTTCCTTTTCCTGATGTTTATGGAGGGACTCCAACTATAATGCAGGTTGCTGTGGTCTTACTGAGTGACTTAAAGATGTGATAAATGAAGTGCAGCTATAGAAACTGTGAACCTTTTTCTGACATTTCTAATTGCTGAACTCTCATCTTTCACATCATCTATTACCAAAGTATTGCGATGCCATGAGAAAGCCAAGGAGCGCGATGGGGTGTAGACACCACCACTACTTTTGCAGCATGCATAAATCACCAGGCTAATAAATTGAAAGCTAAATGACTTCTTGCCCTTCACATATATCATGGAGGTAAAACAAATGAAGCCTTATATACCCTAGAGGACATAGGAATGCTTCTGTTCATAACAGTGATTTGTGTGTCACCCCCCTTGCTGTTAACTGTTTAGACTCATGCATGTAGCAGCATGGTTGTTTATATCACATTTTACATTTACATTTTATTTTTAAGATTATTAGAAAAAAAAAAAAAATCCCCCAAATATCCTCTGCATTTATCGTAAAAAAAAGAAACTTCAGTAATGTATCAAATAAAAGAAAATATATATATTTTTGTGATCATAAAATAAATATATAATGTGTAGCATTACATTTATATAAACATGACATGCCATGCTGAGAAATTCATCTTTTGCGCATCTGTGGTAATTGTATTTTTGTATCTAATGAGTCATGATTATACCATCATTACTTATTCAATCATTTAATAGGTGTTGGTTTGCAATTTCACATGGAATTGAAAACAAATGAGAAATTGTGGACAACCGAAGAATCTCTCATAATATCTGTACAATGGCGCCACCCATTGGAACAAATCCGTTCGGTGTTTAGTGGCTACCATTAAAACACAAAGTACTGTGATGCAGATATGTATTATTTACCTCAATTAGAGTGAAATAAAGGCCAATAAATGTGATTGCAGCCAGAATGAGAACTCATGGATATGGGATGTTGAGTAACTGGGAAAATGTAACAATTTGCGGACAGGAAGCATAAGGATAGTCGACATCTTCTCAGCTAATGCATCATCCATATTTCTATGAAAAAAATATGCTAATGGGCTAAGTTGTTCTTGGCAGTTAGCTGGGATAAGAGCCAGATAAAACAGCAATCTCAGCATTTCTTTTCCTCCTCCTTAAATAAAATAAAATCCTGCCAACCTCCTTAATCCCACCTGAATCACCACGGCAGACTGCTCCGCTGAGATGGGTTTGTTTGGGAGGTCTCACCTTGTCTGAAAATTGTCCGTTCTGAGACACCTTTTGAAATGCAATCTGGGTGAGTAGTTACCTTGAATGAAAAAACAGGATACAGATGAAGTATGTTGAGCAAACATAACGCACATGGCAGAAACAAAACCTCAGAATTCTGGATGTGTGCCTAGCTTAATCCATTACTGGACTTTAGAAATTGCCGCTGAAGTTAAGGTTAAGGGTGTGTGAGAACATTTTCAGAGTCAAATTTTGCTCTGCAGCGAATGCACAGGAGACAGAAGATGTGTTTTCCTTATTAAAGCTGAATACTCTCATACAGAAAGCCAGTGGTGCTTGGTGTCGCAGAGGTTTGGCAGGAGTGTTAGTGACAAGGACTGCTTAATGTGTTAAATTGTTGATGTGTTAGTTCGAGGAACATCAGTGGCTCATTTTGGCAGGGAGCTCTCAGTGAAACACAACAGCAGCCTGGAAGAAGCTGGACATAATATAAATACACTCTGATGACTGTAATATATATTCTTTTTTTTACATTAAAGTTTCACTGAGGCTACTCAGTCCAGGGTTTAAATGGCGGATGATAGTCAGCCCTTCCTACAATTAAAAGTGCTCTTTTGTGAGTGAAGTGGTTAAAATAAGATAGACAGTGATCTACTGGGAAGTGGATGAGAAAACGCGGTACATCAACAAAATACAGTTGCTTAAGGCAAAGCATTGCGGTGGTTCTGTTGTGGTATAGAGTTCATTTTCCGAGTTTGTATTTCATGCTCCATAAACTGGGTAAATGCCAGGAAACTCAAAGCATGCAAAATAGTTTTCTCCCAATAGGAAATGAGTCGTTCAGAACAACAAGGCCCATAATTATGGTGAACAAAGGCTCACTTAATGGTAAAAACTGTTGACTAATGAGCCAAAAATATTCTGTGCAAGAAAAAAAGCCACAGTGGAAGTAACACAAAACACTTACGGTACTCATGTTTCTAAAGCAAGGTTGATTTTTGTGTACAAGCAGGCTTTTTGAGTGATTTAAAAAAAAATGTATTTGATTATTTCTTAAATAGGAATATAGTACTTTATTTTTGTTCAGATCTGGTCTGTGGAAAATGCCTTGAGCACTTTATGAGAATGGAACAATGGATGATAAAGAGGGGCTGAGAGGACTGGTGACATTATACGCTGACAGACAGTGAAGGAATGAAGAATCCAGAGCAGATTGTCGAGAACTTTGCGGGGTTCACGACTCCAATAATTCTGATTTCGTTCTGATGTATTCTTTTGTGTGTTGTGTTTCTTCTCATGATTTATAATTTAATTTCATATGTTTATTTTAAGCAAATCAGAATTGTATCTGAAACTGACTCTTAAGAATAGTTGTGTTTTCAGTTATAGCAGGAAGAAACAGACGTATACTGTTAAGCCTAGTCACATATATACTAACAAAGGACTGGCTTATCTAAAGCCAGTTGAGTAGCACTTGAAATGTGTTGGCTCTATGAAACCTGATGTACTTATATGATTCTGTTTTCTTCAAGGTTGTATCTTCCTGGTCGAATGTACTTATTGTAAGTCGCTTTGGATAAAAGCGTCAGCTAAATGCAATGTAATGTAATGTAATGTGCACATGTTGCAAGCTTGAATAAAAAAGGAAGGTTTATTTTATTCAAATCCTTTTTTTAATTACATTTATTTTCAGGCTGCTAAATATATTTGCCTGCATATCGTGCCACACCATTTTTCTTCTGGCACCTTTTTTTCATTTCAAACTCAGACAGGCACCGACATTCATAATAATTATCCTATCTGCACTCTCACACTGCTGCTATAAAAGGCTCCTAAAACAAAAGCAGTCACATTTCATTCGTCACAAAATGAAAGGCTTCACTGCACCTGAAAAAAGGGGACCTTAAAAGGCAGTGTCCTTTTTAAAATTGGTGCCTCGAAAAATGTTCATCTGTGTCACTAATTTGGCTTTCACACTGTCAGGGCTTCACCCTGTGTCTTGTAGTGACAGTAAAAGATACATCCTTCACAATATATATTAACACTTTTTTATCGTCTATAGTTCAGTTGTAATGTGCTCAGGCATTGCTTACATTCCACACATGCATATATTTTTATAGTAGCATTGCTATCTTACTTTTCGGTAACTTCTGATACCTTGCACTGTAACTGAGCCTATGACACTGGCAATAATAGATAATCACATCTGCTGCAACACTAATCAGTACTGATATGTAATCATTGTTCTTGCTTCTATAACTAATTGTTAACTATTTATCTATGACGAGTCATATGTTTGAGCTTTAGGGAGATAAACCTGCCCTCACTCATGTAACATGTTTCACTCTCACTTAAACAGTGAACCTTTGTTCTCTGTGTTTGAGGAGTCCCCTATTAAATGCTTAAAACTTTGTTATGTAAATGTCTTTCAATTTGTGGAATTTCTCTATTTTTGAAGAAATACCATTGACCGATTAATCTCAAGGTTTTTGAAAATAATCTTGACCAAATTAGGTTCCCTGTACTTTACTTGCTGCCAGAGAAGTGACACAGTTTTGGCTGAACCTCAGCAATAAAAGGGCAAAGCAAAGAAGCAGGATATGACCAGACTAATCTTGGTTTTTAAAACAAAGATAGTTATTTGAATGACTGAGAATCCAGTAGTTGTTGTTTAACATTTTGCTAAAGATGACATGCAGTGTTTAATATCCCTAGTTTTCTCCTTGGTGTTCCCTCTAAACACTGTTTATCACCAGCTCTCACACATAAAATACAATCTTACAATCGCTCTTAGCTCAGAGATGGAATCAGCTTCCTCTGTTGCCTGATACCATTTTTATTTGATTTACTTTTCCCGAGGTGCATTCAGAGCCAAAGGAAAGTGAGTTCAGCGCTCTGTTTGATAGAGACCTGGCACACAATGCTCTGAGCTGAAACTAGCTTGAATAAACAGTGTCGGGAAAAGCAAACAGAAAATCAGTGAAAAACACTTGAGGGTAAAGTCATTTGTTTTTCTCTAGGGATTTAATACTACTTAAACTAAAGATGTCACCTAAGCTGTTTAGTATTGAATTATGATTTAAATACCTGTTGTAATAGTATAATATAATAGTAGCACTCTGTAAAATAAGCAATCCCTCATTTAGAAAACAAATGTGGTTTATTTTATATTTATTTTTATCCTATGCAACTTACCTCCATTTCAGTGTCAAAGATATCAATCATTGTTAAACATGTCACAGACTGAGGCCCTGTGTATTGTGTATGGCACCACTCTGAACAATAAAGTTTCCATTTCACAATGAGAACCTGATCATACAAACATTGTATAGCTTATGAAATGATCCACTTTGAGCATATCTCAAACATCACAGTATAAAAAATAGAACATACATTAATATTTCTAACAATAGTCAATGACACTTGTATAGTAGCATCTGCATGGTTTGTTCACTGGCATCAGGACATTTTCCCTTTGGTAGACCATAGACTTTTATACTGTGGGCACACAAACTCCAATAAAGAGCATTATACAGTCTGTAGTGCAACCTTTGAGATTGTTAGTTAGCAACAGTGTTCACATTATTATACTATTAACTACTTACAACATATTACAGAAAACTTAACATTTAAAATCCCTTTGATACAAACCTTTACACAATCCATTAAATATTGTGGAACCCTTTCTTTAAAAAAAAAAACCTAAACACAGTCAATGATTTAAGCAGTGTAGATTAAGAATTAGATACATATATAGCATTTGACCTTCTCTTCATGTGACACACTTTGCATTAACAGTGTTATGGTAATGTATTGGGTAATTTTAGCTTACTTTAGAAAAGGAAAAGGAATACATTCTCAAAACAAATTCCAACACCTATTATTGACACCCAGCTGATGTCAGTGTGGAAGTACTGACCTCATAGCATTTGACTTTAGATGATAAACTATAATTAACTTTCACGTTAGCACTTCATTTTCATCTCTTTTCATGATGAAGGGTGACATCCAAATATTTAGTGCAAGTACCTTATTGAATTTAAATAAAGTAGCAAAAAAAGAGCAAAGTACAATAGAAAACATCAAAACCTAATTTCTGTGTAACAAAACTTCTCTGTATTTCCCAAGTGCCTAGGAGTTAATGTCCTCACTAAAGTAAAGTGTAAAGTTTAGGAATTGGGGTATGCGGAGACGCGTAAGATATCGAGGCAGTTTGCCGTGATAAGGGCTCCAGTCAGCTGCCTCCACTGTCTGGTGGCAGGGTTTTTCATTTTGTCCAGCGCCAGGTGCAGATCCTGGATCATGTCCCTGTAGCTGTCTCCGTACCTCAGACTCCAGGAGTACAGGAAGTCATACGCGGGCTTCCACATGGACTAAAAGGAAATAAAGCAATCAATTTGCAGAATAGAACTTGCATGATATTCATCAAATAAATGCCCCAAGATCATTATTGTTCAACTGACCTGGGCCCCAACTTCTCCGCTCTTCCCTCGGTGCGGTGTCTCATAGCCCGCTATCTGAGAGCTGGAGAGTTTCCCCATCTTTTCAGCGAGCTCCCTCCATCGGACTCCCAGCTCGACAGCGGTGGACAAAATTACTGTTTTCTGAATCACCTGCGCCACGAGATTCACAGAGTCCATCTTCAACAGAGCCTGCAGTGGTAAACACAGAGATAAAGAGTCACAAAACAAGCAGGCACACAACAACAGCATTCAGACTGTGAAATTGTTATAGCATGTTGTGTACATTTTTTTAAATATTTGTTCTTTTGACAGTGGGAATTTACCAGAATGTAAACCTATAGTTTGTCTCAACTTACCACCAAGAGCTCATGCAGAAACTTCTTCTTGGTCTTCTCAGCGTGGCAGTCTTCCTTCAGTTTTTCCAGCACGCAGGCCACTTTATCCACCTCAGATTCAGCGTGCGTCCGTATTATGGTGTCCAGAGACAGTTTGCTGTACCCCAAAGCATCGGAGAACCCTCTCCAGCTGGTTATGTGCTCGGTGACCAGTGTCTGGATGGCTGAGTACATGTAGGTAAGCTTCTTGAAGGGCAGTGTCATGTTGTCCAAGAGGACCTCTGTGGTGATTTGAATGCCAGTGAAGTCCATCACCTGGTCCCTGGTTATGAGCTTAACGTTTTTGCAGTGAACCAAACCAATCCTGCCTCGGAGGAATCCGATATACCATTCCTTTGCTTTCGAGTTACCCACTGACCTCACCGTGTCTTTGGATAGGAGAGCCACCGTGTCCCCCTTGAAATACTCCAGAAGGTAGTCTACACGTGGCTGGCGGAAAACTGTCTTCAGGGCGACACCGTACCACTGTAGCTTCACAGGTCTGTCTGTGAATTTGTTCAAATCTGGAACATTTTCCTCAGCAATGGAAGTGCTTCTCACCACTTCAGTTTGCTTTTCTATGAGCCTCGGAGCTCGTTTTTCTGACCTGATGGGTGCTGCTGGGGGGGAAGGCACGTCGAAATGAGCCACAGCTGCAGCGTTAGAGTCCTGCACTTGTAGATCTAATTTAAAAGGAGTCATTTCTGTGTTACTAGCACAAGACAATGCAACTGGCAGGTGCAAAACTGTTCCTATTTTGAGCTGACTTTCTCTCACTTCTTTCAGTTGGTCCTCAGGTTTGATTTTAAAAATCGAGTTTGTGATGCTAATAGCAACATGCAGGTTGTTCAGTTTGTCAGGTTTAAACCCATGTTTTCCCCAAAGCTGCAGCACAAGTGGAGGCACGTTTTTGTTTCCTCTGAAGGTAACTGCAAACGGAAGCCTTGGAGGGACATCCTCATGACCGCAAACTACTATTACAACCTTAAATGACGGATGGATGTACCTGGGACCGTAAACTGCTAATGTGATTTGGCGATGAAGGTAATCCCACACTGATTTAGCAGGAGACTGGATTGCAGATGCCTCCGCCACCGCTATCACATAAAAATGAGTCTTTAGGTCCTGCAACTTCATCTGTAACATCTCTTTATAAATGTAACAGTCGCTCACTTTAAGATAAGGTCCCTCTTTTTTGTGGGACACCAGTCCGACCACAGTAGTCATCACCTGACTCAAAGGGTCGCTCTTCACCTCTCCAGACAGTTTCATCTCCAGAGAGATGCACTCCTTCATGTTGATGTTGCTGAGCACAACCTCTAGAAGTGGACTCATGGTTGTCACATAGTTGTTATTGAGTCCAGGAGGAGGGTTTAGCAGTGCCTTAAGTGTAACTTCCTGGACTTCTCCAGGGGGAACATGACCTTCTGGGATATGGATGCTAATATCCGAGCCAGGCAACTGCACCGAGCCTCCAGTGTGGCCGATCTTGCAGATAACCTGAAAGTCCGTGGCCTGTGTCTGAGCCCACCCTGGACTCTGGCTCATCAGATTTAAGTCCAGACATGAGCGAGTGAGCTGCCTGTGGCTCAGCCAGGCCATTTTGTAGGCCTCTCTGTCATTCTTTAGCCACTCAAAATCTGGGTTTAGCACCGTCCCCGGTGGTTTGAAGCTGTTCTCCCGTTTCGGCACTTTTTTGTCCAGATCTTCCAGGATGTCGGAAGCGCTTCTCCATCTCCCAGATTTGTTCCTGACTTTTTGTTTCTTTTCCAAAAACTTCCCCACATTGCCTTCATCTGAAGATGTGCTTATGGCGTCGTCATCATTTGAGTCCAAATGTTTTTCATTGTCTTGTTTTACATTTGATGTGTTGTAGATGTGTTTGTCTGTGCTGCTGTGTACAATGTCATCTAAGAAAGGATTTGATCTAGAGAGTTTGTTCCAAAAGGGATTTTGTGACTGAGATGGACTTGCAACTTCCGGTTGTATAAGTGGCCACTCGGAGTTCGGGGTCACACACACACCTGTGAAAATATTAAGAATTTGGTTAGGACATCTGTTAACGTTATCAGAAGGTTTTGAGATGTAGAGAACAGGCCTCCTCTGCTTTTACCATTAAGGTTGTCACTGGTTGAGGCCTTGTCATCCAGATCAATCAGTGTTCCCTCAGATTTGCTCCGCATGAGACTCCCAACACGATTGAAGGACCTTGCTCTTCCAGCTGCCATATTTTCATCTGTAAACATACAAACTATTTTCTTTACATTTCTTAATCAATCTGCAGCTTTCACTCTTTAATAAAATAATAATGTTACTTAGTCCTATTGCAATGAAGTAAAACAAATATGATTTCCCAATATATTGAATTTCACTTTTGTCATAGTAAAAACTGCAAGAAGAATATTAAAACCCATACTTTTTAATTAAACCCATCTAGGGCTAAAACTATTTATTAAGTAATTGATCTGTTTGTTTACATAAAATAAATTGGCAACAATATTAATGACATTGTTATTGTTGTTGTTCTTACTATTGCAAGAAGAAGCTTTAGAAAAGCTATGTTTTCCTTTCATAGTAAATAGAAAATGTAACTTAAAAAAGTTATATAGGATTAAGTGTGATATGCATTTGTTATACTTTCTGTCCTCTTTACAAAGATGATTAAAGAAAATCAATGGATATATTGATTAAATAAAAGTAATCTTTAGTTTCAGGCCTACACATAACCAGATGTATATTTTTAAATGCTGTGACAAGCGACGGAAACTAGTACCTACACAACAAAAGACTTGAGAGTAAGGTTATTGTTTGCTCTAAACTACCCTTAGCACAGTGGGCCTCAGGCTCTTTGCAGTCTGCTGCAGGAAAACTGTTTCTAAGCCTGAAGTCTTCAGTCTGTCACTGTTTGCGTAAAAGGACATACCCATTCATGACTTGTCACAGTGAGTCAGTCATTAATAATGTGGTTACTTACACCAGTGCACAAAAACAGGTTGGTCTTGTCAAGCCTATGACACAGTAGTCAGTTCTCTCAGCACTTGTTGCTATGAGCAAAGTGCAGTGACACTGTACTACAGACTGTAATTATGTATATTCTGAGCAAATACTGCATGGTAGGATTATTCACTTTGCACTGTACTGAGATTCCTGTAGTAGCCTACACATAATTATATTCAATACCAAATAAACTAATCTGATCACAATCTGGTTCATGTTTGTTTTATTTGTTTAATCAGATTAAACTATTCTCAAACTAACCTGGTATTCATTATTAATCCAGAATAACGATCGCGCAAACATTAAACCTACAGCTTGTCAAACCACAGCCAACAATCATACTGACATGTAGTCTGACAGCGTCTCAACAGGTGTGTGGATACTCAGAAGTTACACAATAACACGTCTATCCTATTGGAGACTTTCTTTTATGAGAGAGCGACAAGAATAAATACCAAATACGAGAACAGACAACAAAGTTAGAGCTTACCGTCGGCATGAGGTGGTTGTAGTTTTGTTTCGGAGAGCTGGCAGGAAAAGAGGTCAGCCCACTATCATTTACACTTGTTCTTTTCTTGGGCGTATCTATGATGTTCACTTCCTTACGTTGCAGCGGTTTACTCTGTTTGCTCTCAGGCACGGAGCGTTTTGGGACAGGGAGTTTGATAATAATACAGGAACCCCGACGGAGGAGTGGCCTCTCTTGGTTTAGAACTACAGTACCCAAAATGCACCACTCTGTTTACGCACGAGACTTACAACACCTGAAACTGAGCGATACCTGCAGTTTCGACTGGAGTTTGATCTTAGTGATAAGCATGCGAACAAGCCTGCAAAAACATGCTCACTTTGTTTCAAGGTTACTTATTGGACACACAACAAACAAGATTAACCCACCAAGTTAGCAATTAGCCTAAAGATACAATATTATATACATTTACTCTGAATGACCTTGTGAACGCAGCATTTGGAGAGTTAGTCAGTGAAAGCAGGTCCTTATACTTGATGCAGTACATTAGTAAGCCATAAATAACAGCATAACTATGCTTGTTTCTTCTTATTGATTTGTCATTGATCAACTTATTTCAGTAAGAGAGATAGTTCAGTTTGGTTGTCATTATCACAGTGTTTTGAGTGACCTTTATCTAAAGTTTAGATCAAAGCCAAGATGAACTAAGGGTTCATCTCATCAAGGAAACAAGTCCTAGCAGCTTTATACAGATTTACTGTGATGAATGACTGAATAGATCACTAATGGATATTGTTGTTGGATATTTAATCATCATGAAAATAATGCAAGAAAATCACTCAAAGGTAATACTTTATTATCTCAAATTTGGAGAAAAAAAACTGTGTTGCAGCAGCATGTAAAATAAAGTATTGCACATTATAAGAAATAAGAAATAAGAAAAGAGTAGAAAAAAACTATTATACAAAAAAAAGACAACAGAACTTAAAGAGTGAAATTCTAAAACTTGACCGTGCATATAAATAAAATGTAGATTGTGAATATAAATCAAATGTAGACTGACAAATAAAACACTATTGAAGGGCATATGAAATTAGATATAAATGTAAAATGCACAGTGAATAGATAAGTCCAGTTAACAAAAGAGAAGCTATGGAGCATGAGTTCTCTGCCAGCCAGAGGCGAGTTGTTATAAAGTGGTGTTGCTGTTGGCAGGAATGTTTTCCTGTATCTCTCCTTGTATTTCAGCTTTTTACAAATGTGTTGCATGCCAAAGTGTATGAAAAGTAATAACCTCATATACCCATTTAAAGGAAGCCTACTGTTTGTTTTACAACTGTTATCTTTGTCGATGCATATCCATGCTGAAGTTTTAAATGTCCTGTCAGAGCTGTGGTCTTTGGATGCAGGCCCTGGCATCCGAGCTCTAAAGGAATGTAAGTAAGCACTCTTGAGTAGATAATGAATTTTCATGTAGCCAATGTGTTCAGTGGCAGCAACAGGCTGGACTACAAGACTCATTAAAATCCCCCTACTAGAAAAGTAAACAAACTTTGTATATACTTCTGTTGTTTTTTTTAGCTAAATGTCTCTTTGTTTTACATCATTCATACGAACCGGAGCTGTGCCTAGTAACCTGTTTTAACTTGGATAATATAAAACTTAACAGCCACAATCTGCCCACCTCTCACATTCCACCAAAACACAGTTGCAATCATGTCACTGTCAGCACTGACTTTAGGATAGATAATCTAAAGCAGAATACAGATGTGTGAGCACATCCTGCACCCTTGTGGCTTATTTCAGAATATGGCAATAGCATGCTCTTCGTGATTTCTGTTTTTAACAAATCTTATTAAAAAAACAAAAACAACAATGAACTAATCCAATACTTAATGCCTGTGTATCCAAAGCCTAATATATCTTATTCATTACATTACATTACATGTCACTTGTTAGCAGTGTTGGGACTAACGCGTTACAAACTAACGCGTTACTGTAACGCAACTACCTTTTGCGGTTACTAATAACGCTACTAGTTACCTATTCCCATTCAGTAACGCCGTTACAGTTACTGTGATTTAAATGGGTGCGTTACTGCGTTACATTATGTGATCCAATTGAACCGAATCTCCCTTCGGATTTCATTTACAGGCCAATACAGTGATGTCCTCTCACAGCACCATGGAAAAGTGGAAGTGACCAGAGAGGAGTGATGATTGGTTAACGGCGGGGTAACACTTCAGGGTAAGCCAATCAGAGACAGAGTTGGGCGGGTCTTGCCTTATGGGGAAAATACACAGACACACAAACACTTGCTAACACACACACATACACGGCAACGCCAACCAACAGCACAATGGCAGATGCAAGTATCAGCGAGAGCAGCAGCGCATTTACAACTTGGAGATTACTTATAAGGCTGAAAGCACCTCTTCTTAAGTTTATCCACCATTATTGGTTTTGTTTATGCTAAATGGCCAGATGTGAGGTAAATTATTGCACTGTTAGTTTGTTTTTGTGAGGCTGAAAATAGTTTGTTTGTCTTCAGTGTCAGTCTGACAGTTTATTATGTATTTAATTGTTACTGCCAAAATAGTGTAGTTCTTGTTTAATTGTTACACTGTCAAAAGAGTGTAGTTGTTTTTATTTCATATTGCACTACTTAGAACTTGTATTGTTATTATGTTTAAAGTAAAGTAACTTGTTACTAGTTACTTTTATAATTTAGTAACTAATAAAGTAAATAGTTACTTTTTTGAGAGCAGTAACTATAACTATTACTAGTTACTTTTTTAAAAGTAACTTGCCCAACACTGCTTGTTAGACGCTTTTATCCAAAGCGACTTACATATTCAATACTGTGGGCAATCCCAACAGGAGCAATTTGAGGTGAAGTGTCTTGCCCAGGCACACAACGACATGCTGACTGCAGTGGTGGTAGACTGCAGTCGGCAGTGTGTAGACTTTTAAAACTAAATTCAAACACATACATGCTGCTGTTTAATCTTTACCATTTCGAAATGACTAAACCTTTTTAATTATGAAGAAGTCAGAGAGAAACTGTTCATATTGTGTATCTACATTTTGATACATTGATTGGCCTATGCTTGAAAGTAACTTCACTTTGCTGGCTCTTCAAAAGTTACATATTTGTGCCACTTGGTGGAGCCATTTCTCCATCATTTATTTGTTAAGACTTGTGTGTGGTTTATATATATTTTTCATCTAAAGCCTTATCTGCTCAGTCAACCCCATTTTAAAAAGCCTGAATAAAGTTGTAACTTGGAATTCTCGCTTGATATTTTGTTGGTTAATTAATAAGCAAAATAGATGCCATTCTATTTCCTTTAGATGACTCACTGTTGCAGCTATCTTTGTAATAGTCAACTTTAAAACTCCTTCAGTATATATTGCAATAAGGGTATCCATCCATCATTGTCATAGTGATTAGAAAGCTTTGAAACCTGTTTGTAAAGGCTATGACATTTGTTACAAAAATACAACTTTTAGCTCCAACAAAGCCAACAAAACATAACTAATATTAAAAAACTAATTTCACTTTCACCAAGGTGTTGGATGATGTCTCACCTGCTGCAGAAACCTGCATCCTGAGTGGAGCAGTCTGTTACTTTGGTCCATAGTTCTCTTTAATCCTGTATTTATTTTATAGACACTTATGTGATGCATTCATTAAATCTAACCATAATCAGACCTCTGTGAGGTTCAGTCGGCAGGCATTCCACTCAGCGATCAGACAGGTGAAACGCCACCTGTGACGTAAATGATCTAGATTGCTGAAATCATTGTATAAGGGCACCTCTGTCAGTGTTGCAGCAATTACTGTTAATTATTTTTGACTAACCTCTTAGCCTTGTCAAATTGCCTTTCCCGGGAGATTGGTTGGTTTGATGACAATGACAGTGCGGTTGGTGGTTTTAACCACAAAATTGGCCACAGATGCATCAACAGCGAGAGGTGTTATCAGAGCACTGATTTTGTGTTAGAAAACCTAAATACAAATCCTCATACCTATTGGAGCTGGAGCCTCAATGAAGCTTTATTGAAGGCTGTGATTAAGCTTGATTTTATAAGGCAGAATACAGCCTAAAAATCCCTGATGCATCCAAATGTCTATCAACCAGTGTAGGATAATGTTATTTCCCTTTTGTGTTGATTGATAGATCAAAGCTGGGTTTGCCTGCTCACACACTACATGCTCTGACCCAAGCTGTTACCGAGGCCTTTATCCACAGTTGGCAGCTTTGCTTTATTCAAATGAGGGTAGGGACGGAAATCTCCTTAGAGGACCAGGTGAGTGGGAAGATGTTAATAACATGCCAACACAGAGCTGTGCACTCTCAAGACATAGGCTGAAAGGACTGTGTAATACTAAATGATCCCTTTATAACCGTTCATAACTTCAGTTGTCTGTTGAGGCGGTTGAAAAGTTCAATGCTAATTATTTTGTGTGCAGAAAGTTATGTCTTCCCTCATATGTTTGAAGCCAGTTTGTGTGAAATATATATTAATAAACACAGTGTGATAATCGTTGTGTTAAATATAGTATATCAATTTATACATTGTTGAATATAATGTTCTGTAGTCCAGGTTTCTGTCTGTTTACAAAAATGTATTATTTATTTTTACCAATTACTTTGCAAATAATGCAATCTTGCCTGGAATTTGAAAACACTTATCCTTCCTAAATCTGTACTAAACCATAACAAAAACGATAATTTGGCAAACCTTATGCTAAATAACAAACTTGACAACATAACAAGGTATTTATGTTTCCCCATGGTTATTTTAATTTTAATATATTCTCCTCCTTGAGTGGTGGAAAGCCTTTGTGTATCTGAATGTACTAACGAAATGTATACTACTCCAAATACTAAGTGGCACACTTACAAAATAAGCTTGTACGTATACATATTATCTAACAATTTCTGTCTGTAATCATTTGTTTTTTGAGTAACACAATGTAACTGTGCTGCAGGCCTTAAATGTTTCCCTATGCCAGAGGGCTTCAGTAAAGAAACTAAAATACTTTGGCTTTGACTAAAGAAATACTGCCTTTCCTGGGTAGGACAAAAAAAATCTTAATTGTAAGTTTCTTCTGTACGTAGCTTGGATTCTTTTAGAAATTAGACTTTATTGT